TCTCTCTCCTGTTCCTCTAGATACTGTGTAAGCTAGAGTTCAGACCCACAGAAGCATGGAAAAAGCCAGGCGGGGTGGTGGGATACGCCTACAATCCCAATGCTGAAAAGATGGAGACAGGAGAAACCCTGGGGTTTGATGACCAGCCAGTCCCAACAGTGAGCTCCAGGGTCGGTGAGAGACCCTGTCTCAAAGGCTGCCTTCCCACTCACTCAGACTTGATGGTATGCAGTGACTCCTAGGGCCGGGCAGACCACATATGTGGGCTTCCTGACAGACCATGGGAGGTGCCATTCTAAAGAAAGCCTGGCATGAACTTGATCTGATATGACCTTAAAGAGAAGGGGTCAGTTGGCCTGGACCTAACAGACAGCTAGAGAGCTACAGAGGGTCTAGGGCAGGGAACAAGGGACAAAAGAAGCTTCTCCAGGTCCGAAGGTCAGCACCAGTCACAACTCTTGTATGCCTGGGTAAGGGCAAAGAGTGAAGGATAGGCAGGGGCATCTTGTCCTGACTGTATCTTAGTCTTCTTCACCCATCGTGGTCAGGGCCAGAGCAACAAGCTGAACTTAGCAATTTTCACTCTGCCGTCCTGGGGGACAGCTCCTGATTTACAGGAACCCGGTTCGGACATCTCAGTCTGCTGGAAGTTCAGTGCCTATTCATCATGTGCCCCTAGGAAACCAGATGTAATCACAGTTAGGATTTTAGGGCTTTTATTACATGTGAGGATTTTAGGGCTTTTATTTAAGGAAGATAAAGAACAGGGATCGACAATATCAGAGAAGTCTAGTTCACTATTTTATCAAAATAATTTTTCTTTTCTATTATAATTTTTTTAAAGGTTTTTCGAGACAGGGTCTCACTCTATTTGATTCTGCCTGTCCTGGAACTTGCTCTATAGACCAGGCTGGCCTCACACTCACAGAGATCTTCCTGCCTCTGCTTCCTGAGTGCTGGGATTAAAGTCTTGTGCCACATAATTTTTTTTTTTTAATACGTATCTCACTAAATTGTCCAAGCAAGGCCTTGAACTTGAGATCCTCTGACTTTGCCTCTGGAATAGGGTGATTATCAGCCTGGAGCACCAGACCCAGCTTTACAAAGACTTCCAGTGTTATGGACCTGGACAGCCTTGTCAGTAAAGGAGGGAGAGCTCCCTGCAGCCTGCCCAGAACCACTGTTAATTAGTGGGAGAGAAGAGTGTCAAACCTGCTTCTCTCTTTCCTGCTTCTGTGTTATCTGAGTTTGTGGATTCTAATTGCATTGAGTGGATTTGAAATTCCAGACACAGAGCACTGATTGCTGTTGGCTTTTCAAAAAAAAAAAATCTAAGTGGCTAAATGCTTCTTCCTCGTTAGTCTGAAGTTTCCTCAAGATGCAAGATTGAATTACAGCCTGGAGGCTCTGCAGGCCACAGGTCCCACAGACAGCCTTTAAAAAACCCCAAACTGGTGTTCTGTTTAGTTTTTGGTTTCTCATGCCTTTTTAGAAGATTAGAGAGTCCACATTCCCAGGGAAAATGCAAACAGAATAGACAAATAGAGGGCAAAGCAAAACCCACCTACCCCCTAAATCACGCTCCTGAAGGTTTAGGTTGGCAACCATGTGCCACGCCTTCCTTACGGAGTGCATTCATGTCTAACACAAAGTGCCAGGCCTGGTTTTGGGGGGGGGGGGGGGGAGAGAAACCACCCTTTTATGGCTGCTTAGGTTCCAGTTGTGACAAAAGAATACACTGGGGATGTGAAAATCACCAAGGAGCAACGTCTTTGAGGCCATTTGCTCTCTATCACTTGCTTGTTTTTAGAGAACTCGACCCTCTGCCAGAATGTGACTCTCAAGGCATCCTGGGAAGCACTGGAGGCCGTGTTCAAAATTCCATTTACAAACAGAAGCACAATCATCGCATGGACTCCCTGTAGCTGGGTTCACCACACACATCCACACACGTCTTTGAGCTGAGAGGAAACGTTTATAATGGCCCTGCTTACTTCCGGCGCCTAACTAACCTCTCAAGACTTCCTCTGCTGAGTCACCTGCTTCTCCAGACTTAACTATGCCACCTACTCTTGTCACCTGCACTCTGTTAGCTATAAGTAGCCCCTCCAGCCCAGGGTTACCATGGTAATAGTTTGGTCCCTTACCTCAATCTGTAAGTACCCCTAAACACTGCTCTGGGAGTGGAGGTGAGTTGAGACTAGCTCTCCTGTCTCCAAAAGCCTGGAGGCTTGTGAATAAGGTTGTTCCTACACAACTGGTTTTGGTGATAGGCACATGATGTGGAAGCCGAAGAGACTTGTTTGGTACCAGTTTATTTCATTGTTCTGCATCCATGAAGGATCTGGACTTAGACTATTGTCAGTAAAAACAAAAACAAAACAAACTGTTGGTCTCAATGCCTTTTGTTTTGTTTTTAAATACAGGCTCTTTCTACAGTAAAGTCACCTGGATAAACAGCTTGTGTTACTTATTGATGAGTCAGAAAACACAGAGTCCTCAGCTTATAAGGGTTTGCTGTCGCTCGCCACCCCAACCCTCACATTCAATAGAAACCTCACTTCATCAAATTTTAGACTTTGAACCTATCCAAGGCTGGAAGCCATGCTGCCTGCTCCTCTCACGAGGTCAGGAGGCAGCTGGGAGTATGACCCACAGCTGAGCTATGGTCACGGAGAGCCCCGTCCTGATGGGGGCTGTGGTCCGTGAGTTGGGAGTGTTTTGGATGTATGCACATTCCTGTTGTGTGAGTGTGGGCGTGTACACACCCACGCTGCACACGTGCGGGTCAGGTGACAACCCCAGGTGACAGCCTCCATCTACAGTGCTGAGGCAGGGCCTGTCTGCGGCCACGTCACACTAGCTGACCCACGAACTTCTGAGGTCCTCTCGTCTCCACCTCCTGCCTCACTTTAGGAGTACTTGGATTAAATGCTTGTGCTACTGCATCCGGCCTTTACATGGTGTCTTAGTCACTGTTCTATTGCTGTGAAGAGACACCATGACCATGGCAACTCTTATAAAGGAAAGCATTTAATGGGGGCTGGCTTACAGTTTCAGAGGCCTAGTCCATTGTCTAAAAGCAGGAGGCATGGCGGCACGCAGGCAAACATAGTGCTGGAGGAGGAGCGAAGAGCCACATCTTGGTCCATAAGCAGCCGGCAGCGGGAGATACTGGGCCTGGCTAGAGCTTTTGAAACCTAAAAGTCCACCCCCATTGTGACACACTTCCTCCAGCAAGCCACACCTCCTAATCCCTCTCAAGTAGTGCCACTCCCTGATAACCAAGTATTCAAATATGAGTCCATGCCATTCTTATTCAAACTACACCCGGGTCCTCAACAGCTTGCATGCCTGTACGCCAAACACTTTACAAATGAGCCAATGCCCCAGCCAGCTTCAGGTATATTTGAGAACCAGAATATAACCTTGTAAATTGAGTCTGTAGGTGTAGATTAGAGTGTAGGTTTTGGGGGGGGTTTCTTTGTTTTTGTCGTTGTTTTCTTTTGGCTTTTGTATTTTTAAGACAGGATATCTCTGTGTAGCCCTGGCTGCCCTGGAAATCACTCTGTAGCCCAGGCTGGCCTTGAATTCATAGAGATCCACCTGCCTCTGCCTCCTGAGTGCAGGGTTTAAAGTGTAACACCGCCCAGCTAGAGTGTGAATTCTAAAAACTGAGCAGCCTTCGGGTTGAATGGCTTTCTGCGTGACCTTGGGAAAATCAACCTCTGAGTCAGTTATCTCATCTGTCAGGAAGCAGAGCTGAGGAGATGGCTCAGTTGGTAAAGTGTTTGCCATAAAAGACCAGTTCAATCCCCAGCACACACATTTTTTAAAAAGGTCAGGAATGGTAGTATATGCCTGTAATCTTAGTCCTGGCCCGGCGGGGGGAGGGGGGGAGCAATCCCTAGAGCTTGCTGGCCAGCCAGTGCAACCTAATCAGTGAACTCCAGGTTCTGTGAGAAGCCTCCAAATAAACAAATAAATGAAAAAAAAAAAAAGCAAGGACGGAAGGAAGGAAGTTATAAAGGGAGATGCCTGCAATGACCACTAGCCCCAACATACATGTACCCATACACACGTGCACCACATGCCATAAAAACACACACATACGCGTGCACACACACAAAGAGCTGAGCTGGCGTTACATCCCTGTCTCGGGGAGGACAGATGGGTCCTGGAGAACTGAGGCACTCGGAACATGTCTGCAAGATATGCAGTTCTGAAAGTGAGGCAGGGCATTCTCTGGGGTCTCGGGGTGCTAGGCAGGCCAGGTCTGCATGAGAATGAAAAGTAAAATTCTGGTTTGAGCCTTCTGAGGCTGCGTCTTGTGGATTGGTCCTACAAGACTCACACTCCACGGTGATGCAAGCATCCTTTGGCTTAAGGGTTTAGTAAGTGGAATTAACTACATTAGTCAGTCAGTCAGCACTATTTTTTTTTGTGGGGGAGGGTATTGGGCATCAAACTCAGAGCATTGTCTGCACTAAGCACACGCTCTCCCACTGAGCTACACTGTCTGCACTATTTCAGAATGAGTTAACACAGTTATGCGTGAACTACAAAGCCACACTTAATAGAGTCAGACTGGCCTAATGGACCAACAAATACAATTTTCTGTATTTTCCCCATTAGTCTTAACTAAGAAGAGTTCCTTCTTTGCTTTGGTTTTTGAGGCAGGGACTCACTCAATAGCCTGGCTAGCCTGTAACCACTATGCAGACCAGGAATGTCATGGTCCTCTTTCCCGGGTGCTGCAGTAGACTATGGGCATGAGCCACTACAGCTGGCTCGTGTTTTCTGAGGCAGGGTCTCTCTTTGTGACCTAGGTTGGCTTCAAACTAATGATCTCCCTGCCTCAGCCTCCCGGGTGCTGGGATTATGGTAAGCGATGTATCTTGCTGAATGAAGGTCACAGCTGATGAGGAACTGATTCTGTTTAGTCTAGTTTTACACCAAAGATCAGGTGTCAGCAAATGAGTGCAGCCAGCAGACCAGTGTTTGCTATTTGATTTTACTCTATAAAAATACACAACTTAAATACATATGACACTCTGTATACAAGACATAAACAACTGGTAGATTTAACACTTTCAGTTATTTCAACAGAAAGCAAATATGTAAATTACCTTGTAAGAGCATTCACAGTCAAGGGAAAAAAATGTGCAGGGAACAATCAGTGCAGGGAGCTAACCCAAACTGCTCAACGGTCCACTACCACGAAGGGCCTTTACCAGACTGCCCAGCGCCACTGCCTGCCCACACGACAAGTGACACGTGCACCCTCTCCAGAGACAGTTAACGGAGCAACCAGTGTCCAAGGGGCAGGGCCCGGGCAGTGTCTGCAACTGTGCCCAGCACCAGGACGAGAAGGGTCAATAGTTCCTTGCTTCTGATACCTGCTGTGGAAATTGCTTAGCTTGATTTTGCAACTAAATTCATCTTCAAAACTTTTTTTTTCTTTTTTAAATGGTGTGGACTTAGCTCCACAGGCTGCAGTGTGAGGGAAGTGCCATTCCAGAACTTACTGAGCTGACCTGGAAGGCAGCACTGTCAATATGCAATATGCTCCTCCTTGCTTCCTAGCGTCAGCCGGCAATCCTGCCGTCCTCCTGCTAACAGCTGCCACTCTGGGTGGAACAGCCACTCGTCCCTGACTCAGTGCTGGCAGGTGCTCCTTGTTTTGCTCTGGTGAGCTTTCAATCATCTAGCCACCTGACCTATGGCTCACTCAACTAAGACAGAATTAGGTACTATTTTGCAGGTATAAAGAAGCATTTATCACTTGAGATTTCAATATGTGAGAACATACTAGAATAAGTTTCCTGAGGTAAATACAAGCTTAAAGAATGATGTACAGGACTCTTAACAGGCTGGTAACACCAAGGACACAGTAATGGAGAGATAAAGTGGCAGTGCTTTGGAGGAGGTGATGACGCGGAGAGCAGCAGCTCTCAGGGAGGCAGAAAGGAGGACACAGACGAGGGGAACGGGGTGCTCGAAAGTGCTTGAGAAGGCTGGAAGAGGAACTCTGAAACGCCGCCAGGGAGTTCCAGCAAGGTGAAGAAGTGACAATTGTCGATGACTCAGATGAAGAAGACATGGCTTTTCTTTAATGACAGCTGTTCAAAAGCTTTATCCCTTTTTTGGGAAACAAGGTCCTTCATAAAAATTTTTCACTGAAATGACTGAGTGGCGACTCCTGCTGATAGCCTGAGATCTTAACTGTGCAAAGAGTTTTTAAAAGGATAAAGGACAAAGCACACACCTGCACCAAGAATGTAAATGAATGCAGAGGTTAGTAACAGATTGAAGCAAGACTTCAAAAGACTTTTCATGTCTAGGCATGCTTTGTTGTTTCTTAATGCTCTGCTGATGGATTATGGAAGTCAGAAAAATCCTGGGATCTCGAAGCTTAGCCTTTTCATTTTATTACTATCACATAAAAAAATAGTGCACAGCCACCCAAAATGGTAATAATTACGATGTCTGAAACAGAATCTCAAGATCTGAGAATCAAGCCCAGGCTACATTTCAGCAAGTCGCTCTAAGGGATCTGATAAGAACACTAAAGTGCCCTGCTCTGTTCCTCTGCCCATGCTGCTGAATGAGGTGAAGAATGGGCCCCACTCCATGACAGCACCACACACAATCCCTCATCCTCATGACCCACCTTCTGCTCCAAGAGCAGCTGGATAACAGCGTGTGTTCGGCATTTGGTCAGCCTCAGGCAGAATTGAGGCCCACAAAAACTTTGACATGGCGTTCAAATCACCTCAGAAGCTAGTTCGAGGGCCAGAAGAAACCACAGTGCCATATGCCAGATCTCTTTATCGTTTCTATATAGATCTGAGATCATTAGGAACAACACTTTTAAGCTTAGTGCAGTGGAGCACAGCCATACAAAGTGAGGTTACTAAGGTGAAGGGGAAAAAATCCCAAAGACTGCAGTGACTTGGATTATAAGACAAGAGCTTGTCTTCTCAGGTAAGAGATATTATCTGGCAACAATAATGGGATAGGTGTTTAAAAGTCAGTCTTTTATATCCTTCAAGCTCCAGTTAACACAGCTCCAGCTAAATGAGTAACAAAGTTAGGAGAAATGACAGGAAGCAAGCATCAGCCTGCTCCCGTAAGCGCTGAAAGAAATGCAGTCCTGGTGCCCCATCAGCTCCATCTAGCCACGTGTACCAGGCAGAGACAACAGCAGGAAGGTGCTTTTCTATGCAAAGTAAGTTTCCATACTTGCAGATTAAAAATACTCTTCAGAAATTTGGAGTCCATGCAGAAACTGTAAAGAATCTGCCCTACACAGGTCTATGATGTCCCACTGTGCCCAAATGGATCATACTTATTTCAAGTCAGCTAAGCCTAGGGTAATGCCAGGGATTCAAGAAAGGTAATGGCAGATGTGGGAGAAGAGAAACAGATTAACCCTGGTGCAGGAGGAGGAGACCTGCTTGTGGAAGAGTACCTGCCTGCCCCTCCCACCACCTGTGGTGAGGAGTGAGGACAGGGACAAGGCTTACACAGGGCCCTTCCTGGTGCCCAACAGGCTGGAGCTCAGCTGGCCTTTCTGTCTATGTGGGTGTGACTGAGATCATGCTCCCAAGTAATCTACAGCCTCTACGGGCTTCTGTCCTGGTCTCTGGTTCCTCATTCCTGGGGCACTGTGCTCCTTTCTGCTTGCTACTAGCAACTATTTCTAGGGTAGAGCAGAGACCTAGGATCCAGGATGAGCGTCAGGCTCCCTAGCCGGTGTGGCTTGCCGCTACGTTTCTCCCTTAGCACTGGCTTATCTCTCCCCCTGGTGGTTGGAGAAGGAATGGAGTGAATAACCTACCTCACCATTCTGCTACAGGAGTGCTTATTTTAGTTTGAGACAGTCTTGCCATGTAATCCAGACTGGCCTCAAACTCAAAATCCTGCCTCATCCTCCTGAGTGCTGGATTATAGGCACATGACACCATGCCTGGCTACTAACTCCAGGCTGATGGTTAAAATATTAACCAAGAAACTGCTTGGCAGGATGCTAAGCTCCTAAAGCTGGGTGCTGTCTGCTTGTTTCTGTCATTCTTGTTCCTGTTTTCATTCCCCTCTGATGATGGGCAGATGGATGGATGAGTGGGTTGTTGGGAGGAAGTCAAGTGACTCCAAGCGTCCTGCCAGCCTCCCTCTCTAGAAGCTTCATGGACTTGGACAAGCGAATGCCTAAGCGACGCTACAATTTCAAACATCAAGTTGTCTGGCAATAAGAAATGAAGTGCATAAGAGATGCAGGGCTGTCTCACACAAAAGTAGGCTATCTTGCTGAAAAACGCCCACAACATGGCTACAGGCACCCATATTATTAACTTACAAATGACAGCACATGAGGGAACGAACAGTGAACATCTGTGAAGGAAAACCCATGTTGGTTATTTCACCTCAATGGGAGTGTTTGCAGCTAAGCCTGCCTGTCTTTCCTCTGCCTCCTACTTGATGTTTTTCAGGAGGGCTGTCCGGGCATTCACAACTGCTTTGAAGGCATCTTCGCTGCCAGGCGCTACGCACTTGTCCGGGTGAAGCAACACAGCCAGCTTCCGGTAGGCCTTATTGACCTCCTCCCTGAAAAGAGCAGCAGAGCTGTCAGTTACAGAGCTGGCCCCAAATCCTGCATCCCAGCTATCTAGCACACATCTCCCATGTAATCACTTCTTTTTCTCAAAGGTAGGCCTAAAGGACTAGAAAAAAAATAAACAATAGGTCGTATACAAGAAGGAAGATACAGTGCAAGTGAGTCTAGGAGACAGTCAGGAAGGATCAGCTGCAGCCAGGCAGCTCTGGATACTTAGGGGCAAGCCTTTGCTAACGGAAGGAGTGACAGCCTGGGCACCAGGGGAAAGCCTTGGGAGAAGCTTTGGGAACAACAGTGACTTGTGGTTTGCATGGGGTAGGGATTCAGAGCAGCAGGGAGGGAACTGGCAGAGACCTGAAGCAGATGTTATTGCCTTGAAAGCAAAACAAGGAAATACTCTGGAGTTGATTGACAGTAACAATAGTAGGCATTTTGCGCCAATGGGCACAGAGAAAGCTGCTTCTCAAAGTTGAGAGGCAGGTGGGAGATTAACACAGCAACCCAGAGGCCTGAGAGCGAAGGTTCAGACGGCAGCATCTGCGAGGACAACAGGGAAGAGAGCTTATGTAACATAAAATGAAAGTTGGTGGGAGCAGCGGTGCACTCAGCACCCAGCCAGAGAAGATGAGGAGACGCCGAGATGACACCATGGTACAGAGGACCGGGGCCGGGCTGGAGAAGGCCCAGAGACCACAGGCTCCTTCATCATCCCCACTTTGCTTGACCCTCAGGTGTCAGGCTCTGTCCCCACCGCATGGTTTTACTGCCCAAGCTTCCTTGTGTCACCAGGATCCCTGTGAGCCCGTCAACATGGCATGGTGCTGTGTCAGGTGCCTTCACTGTTGTGTTCTTATTGGGAAGACTTCTCATACCGTGTTCCCAGTTAAGTAAATGCTTGCTCTTTGCTGTTTAGAGAGGGCAGAACACCTGCAGAGTGACCTCAGTCTGGCCACAGCAGAGCTCCCTGTGTCTTAGGCAGGCATGTCAGAGCTCCTCCTGCTGCTGCTGAGTCCTTCTCAATTTTCCTGTTCTAACTCTGCATGTTATTTTGTACCTATGAAATATGTAATCTTTTATCTGGTATGCATGGGTGGTGTAAGCCTGTGTGTATATGTGTGCACATATGGAGGCCAGAGGACAATGTCAGGGGCCTTCCTCTATCGCTTTACACCGTATGTTTTAAGACATGGTCTGTTAAGTCTCCACATGGCTGCTTTGGCTAGAGTGGCTGGCCAATGAGCTCTAGGATTCAACTGTCTCTGTCCTCCCAAAACAAGAATTACAGACACACACTGCCCTGCCTGGCTTCTATGTGGGTGCTAGTTGTCCAAACTCAGGTCCTCCGGTTTGTAGTAAGCTCTTTATCCACTGAGTCATTGTCCTCCGCCCTTACAAGTGTAATCTTATTGTTAGTTATCAAGAGGCATTCCCCTTCTTGGAAGAAATTTGATTAGCTAGAGTCTGTACTTATCCAAAGACCTTGTGTCCTTGAGGCAATAAAAGGATCCCTTCCTTCTCCAAGATGGAGTCTGGGACAGGGCCAGGGGAGTCACTACCTGGGGCTGGGGCACGTCTGGGCGGGTTCAGCGTTTTGCCAGGCCTCTGTACTGAGTGCCTTTCAAGATTTATAGGCGTAGGAAAGACTGTCTCAGGGGAACGGTCTAGAGCAACAAGACTGGGGCAGATGTGTGCCAATGCTACCTAGAGACAGTAAGATTTCTTTAAAGTTCAAGAAGTGCAAGTACATTTTGGCCCGAAACGAGGACCAGAATTTTCTAGAACTTAACACTCTAATATTCAAGAAATTGTCCCAAATGTGCTCAATGTCATTTGATAGACAGCTTATAAAAAGATAGATAGCTTATAAAAAGATAAGCTTGTGTTTGTATGAGTTAAGGAAACAGAAATCACAGGGGCCCTGGACACTCTGGTAGATTTTAGTTAACCAGAGTCAACAAAGAGCCAAAATTTTCTTTTTCTTCAATACACACCACTTAAAATATATTAGTAAGGAGGTAAAGAAATGATTACTTAAAACTGAAGTGAATACTACTTGCAAATAACATGTAAGATTCACAATGAGACTACAGAGGACTCAAAGGTAAATTAAAGGACACCAATACACTTAATGCTATACATATACGAACCCAACTGAGTGTCTTCACAAGTGTAAGCATTCTCTACACATGGTGTGCCCATGTGGTCCTACACAACCTTCCTACTTCTCTCCTCTTTGCTTTGTATGTGAAGACATGCCATGAGGCTAAGAAGGAAAAGACAGTTTCTGCTGGCCTGGCAATTTGAAGGTCAAGTGTTTCCACTGTGGCAGTCAAGGTGCCAAAGGAGGATGGGAGAAGCATGGAGAGGATAGCTTTGATTAAAATGAGAATCATTTGGGAGGCAGAGGCAGGGGGATCATCATTGTAAGCTAGAGACCAGCATTGTCTACACAGTGATTTCCAACCCAGGCAGATAAAGAGAGGCAGAGAGAAAAGAACCACCCCCCAAAAAAAACACTACCAACAACAAAAATAAACAAAACGAAACCTTCATAACCAATCACACATGAGCTATGTAGCATTAGCAATTACATTACCATGCTCAGTATTGAGTAATTTTTGCACAATAAAGAATATATTCTTTTTCTTCTGTGTTGGCAACTGAACCCAGAGCTATCTGTGTAAGTTCTCTACCACTGAACTAAATGCTTCAGCCCTCTTTATTTCTTTATTTTTCTTTGTAGAAGGGATCTTTTGTGTCTATGTGGAATCATCACCTGCCAATAAAGCTAATGACCTACAGCCGAGGTAGGAAATAGAAGGTGGGACATCTGGCAGGCAGAAAGGATTCTGGGAGAGAGCCAGGTGTGGGAAATTCAGCCAGAAAGATGTGAGGAGGATGGACACATGGAACCTAAGCACAGTTAACCAGCCACATGATTATATAATCAGCCTGTGTACTGGGTGCCAATTTTTGAAAGGATTTTTCCTTCCGTCTCCAAGCTCCCAGAATAATGACTCATGAGACTCAAAATATTATATACAATACCTAAGACATATAGCTAGGCTCTTCTCTGACTAGCTCATAACTTAAAATAACCCATTTATTCTAATCTACTTTTTGCCATGTGGCTGGTTACCTCTGCTCAGGTACCATGCATCCATCCTCCTCACATCTTGCCAGTTGACTTTTCCTTGCCTGGCTCTATCCCAGAATTCTTTCTGCCTGCCCACCTCCTATTTCTTGAAGGCCATCAGAAAATGACAGGTGATGTTTCCATGCAGACACAAAATATTCTCCCAACAAAGGCTGGCTTCGGGTTTGTACTCTCCTTCAGATTCCTGAGTACTGGAATTACAGATGTGCACCGCCATGCCCAGCTCTTCCTAAATACATCTTTTGAATAAAACAGGTAACAGACATGACCCAACCACAGGGAAGAACAAGCAGGGTTTATAAGAAAGGCTTTTGGGCAGACCGTGCTCTGGGTCAAGAGAAACTGCTGCTCCTGAGGCCTCAGTGGTCACTCATTTCACTAACCACCAGTCTCCCCAGTAAAATGGGCGCAGGGTGAAAACTCTTTCTTCTAAAACTCTATGATTTAAGAATAATTAAAAAAAAAAAAAAAGAATAATTTTTTGCAAAGTTTTCTTAAGTTGTGTCAGATTCTTGCTCAACATAGCTGGAGGTGGAGTAAGCCATTTCATCAAGAAGAAACACGAAACAGCTAGCTCAGCAGGCAATGTACCTTCTGTTTCATTTCTCTGTGGTAAGTTAGTGAGATAGAGACCTTATGATACTTATTTGCACACATCCTCTAGTTCCTAGCCAATTAGAAGAAAGATTTCCCAGCACTTTTGGCAGCAGACCCCCAGCTCCTCCAGAACCATGCATCCTCAAGCTGCTTACCTTGAGGCCCCAGGTCTGACTCCCAGCATGTCCCAGCTGTCCTTACTATTTCGGATTCTGCGAATGGTGTCTGCTTGTTCTTTGGTGAAACTAGCACTGTTATTTGTAGTAGGACGTTTCCCGCCATTTTCACACAAGTCAACTACGGACATGTAAAAAGTCTGCAAGAAGAAAACACAGCCCAGAGAAGGGATTCTGAGTTTCTCTCACACACTTCAGTAACTCTTGAGAGTCACACATGAAGTAAATGCTCTTCAATTGGAGGATTTTTTTTTTCCTCACAGGATCAAACCATATTTATATCCATTTCCCTGGTGCTGAGGTAAGAGCCCAGGGTCTTGCACTTGCTCAGCAAGTGCTCTACTACTGAGTTAAATCCCAACCCCCTAACTACATATTTTCAAAATCGGAAAGTATAAGCTAACTTAAAATTTATTAATTAATTTCAAAAAAGGAAAATGACCTGGAATCCCAGCACTCAGGGAAGCAGAGGCAGGCAGGTCTCTGTGAGTTTGAGGCCAGCCTGCTCTACAAATCGATTACAGGACAACCAGGCTACACAGAGAAACCCTGTATTAAAAAAATGAAAAAGAAAAAAAAGTAAAATGATTCATAATCCTACTCTCAGAGAAGCACATTTGAGGTTGGTAACAGATAAACACTGTTAGAAAAACTCAAATAGTAAAATATAAAAACTTTCTCTACCCTGAGTCTTTTTCCCTGATATAGCCACATTATCATATTTTAGTATCCTTACAGAAACATCTGCTACCAGCAAATTTCACATACAAATACATAAACATTTACAGAAAAGATCTCAGATGCAACACAATGCTTAGCAGCTTGTAGTTTCCCACATAATACCTCTTGCCCAGGCCTGGTGGTGCATGCCTGTCATCCCAGCTATTTAGGCTTCTAATGACTTCAGTATCCTATTACGTGATTATACCACAATTTATTTCATCCCCCATTCCTGGACTGGACAGTTGTTTTAAGTCTTTTAGCCATTACAAACAATACTAAATTGTTTTGGTTTTTGAGACAGGGTCTCACATAGCCTCGGCTGGCCCTAACTAGCTACACAGCAGAGGGTGAGACTGAACTCATGATCCTCCTGCTCTGTCTCTTAGTGCTAGGATGACAGGTGTGCCATTTAGCACATGCAACTCTGGAGTGTGTGCTCTTAACCTCTGAGCCATCTTTCCAGCACACATTTCTATAATTACAAGTAGAGGGTAACTCTCATCTCCCCTCCACCTCCTCTCTTCTCTCATCTACTCCTTCTCTCCCCTCTCTCTCCTTCCTCACCTCTCCACTTGCTAAGTAAGTACTATACATCCCGAGTGCCTGTAACTACTTTTTTTTTTTTTTTTTTTTTTTTTTTTTTACAGCCAGGGTTTCTCTGTGTAGCCCTGGCTGTCCTGGAACTCACTCTGTAGACCAGGCTGACCTCGAACTCAAGAGATCTGCCCCCCTCTGCCTCCTACGTGCTGGATTTAAAGGTGTGTGCTACCACCACCCAGTGCCTATAACTGCTCTTTTTTGTTTTGCCTTATTTTGTTTTGTTTTTATGTGCACCACCGCGCCCGGCTCCTATAACTACTCTTAATTGATATATCTCCTTTTCCGTTGGTTTCTCTTAAAATATCTTCCTCTTTTCAGATTCTTCAGTAGCACCTATTATTTCCTTTTATAAATGTGTCTTTGCGGTTGGAGAACTGGCTCATTGTAGGAGAATTTTAATCCAGCAACATGGTTTCTCTGGCAAGAGACCACATCTAAAGACATTCTAGGTCTATGTGATCTGGCTGGAATAAAGAAACGCCCTTAATACATACCTTTAATCCCAAACAATGAAAGTAAGATTAGTTTATAGAAGGAAGCTGCAATGTTTGAAAGTGATGTCTAATTAAGAGGCAGGCAAAGTGACGAATCAGAGGAAGATCTGACAGAATGAGTCAGAGATAGGACACCCCCAACTCTTACCAGAACAGCAGTAAGGAGAGGTGACTTAAGAGGTGCAGGAAGAGAAAGGCAGAGTAGAGGCAAGAGGAATGGTAGTAGTGTGTGTGGCAGTTTTACAACACAGGCTGCAGAGAGATTAAGCCAAAGACTGAGAGGGAGCCAGAAGGTTAGATATTAGATATTGCCAGAGTTAGTCTGAGGCCAAGCAGAGCAATTCAGTCAGAAGCCAGTTTGAATCAATCATATTAGAGAGAAGTCTGGGCCAGAACAGCTGAGTTGAACCAGCCAGAGCTCAGAAAAAAACTAGAGAAGATGAGTTTATTCAACAGTAAGTCTCAGAGGATCAAGTATTCTAGGCCTAGGTTATCAGAGGGAGGCTGGAGCTGAAGCCTTCAAGGTTTGAGTTTACAGAAGATTAGATTGTACAGAGATGAGAGGCTTTCAGGCCTAGGCCTAGAGATAGCTAGAACAGAGAAAGAAACACCCTAGGCTCAGCCCATTCCTCTTATTCGTACAGCTTGGGTACAGCTCTCATCTCATTCTCTCCTCTGAGAAAATAAAACATTTCCATCGCTCAGTAGTTAATCGTGTGCACTACTATTCTAGAGAACCAGAGTTTGGTACCCAGCATCTAAGCTAGCTGACTTATAACTGCCTACAATTCCAGCTCCAGGGGGTTCCACCTATGCATCATACCTCTGGCCTCCTCACATCACATACAAAAACACATACACACAATTAAAAATAAAATAAATCTTCTAAAGATCTTTCCCTTAAGCTCCTCTTTCTCATTTCCAGTAACTGCAAACCAGCTAGGAGGCTAACAAAAAGCCTTGGCATCTGGAAAGAAAGAACATCAAGGGAAAAGCCACCAGAGGGAGACCAGGGCAGTGCTGGTTCCCGTGTAGCTGACCTTAAAAGTACCCTTTGTTAGATAAAGCTACATTCTTCCTGGCGCAAAGTGTCTAGTAGGCAGGGGGGGAATCAAAATGAATCGCCAGGAAAGCACAGCTTTGGCCTACCTACACAACAGAGTCACTGTGCTCTCCATGTCAGTCTATCAAGAAAAAAGACTCATTTATGCATCATTCCCACCAAGAACCAGCCAGAAGGAGAAAAGCACCAAGAAGAGCTCACAGTTCACAAATGTAGCTAGGGTATGTATCAGTAACATTTTCTGGTTAGCCTGCAACTAACTTGAAGTAGAAATATAAAGATATACGGGCACAGGTAGTTATTATAACACACGGTTACAGAAGAACAGCTGTTCTCTGCACACTAGGAGCAAGGTCAAAGACTGTAAATCTCATGTCTGAGTTCCACCTGATGCAGAATAATGGGTACTAGACCAGACCTGTCAACTGCCACACTGAACAGGTGCACAAGGCAGCTACTTTCAGGCAGTGGATGACAGCAAAGCACTGAGAGGTGAGGCACTAACTCCCTTCCTGGAGGCCATAACTGCATCATGCAGGCACAGACCCACTAAGAGAAGGAGGCAGAGGCAGAGACCAGAGGTCTGAGGCAGCAGAGCAAGGCACTGGGCAGAAAGGAGCTGGCCAGACCTGGGCCCATTCCGGGGGGGGGGGGGGGGTAGGGTCCCTCGTGGATTTGTAACTAAAAACTAGGCTATGCCTATGAAAATTGAGGCCACCTGAGGCTTACCAGACAGGAACTGAGAATACAATCCATGTTTTCTAGGCAAGAGCTAGCCCAAGACACCTGAGCTAGGCCTTCCCAGAACACCTAATCAAAACTCCCCAAATCCCCCTGAGGCACCACAGAAAGGCTGTACCTGAGGAGTTTTATGTATCCTAACTAAAGTCAAAGCCAAGAACCAACACGATTGGCAAGAGACAGAATTTGGAAAATGAATTCTGCCAAATTAGAAGGTTAGGAAACACTCTGGGTCTCCTTCAGATCCCTGACATTAAAGCAAAAATGCAAGCTTACATGAGTTCATTGCAATCTGTCTCCTGCGACAAGGAGTGATATTCTTCTGAGAAAGACAGAAACTTGCAGGGTCTCTACAATGTACCCTCTACGGATGTGGTACCCAATCAAAACATGACTACCACATAAAGAAACAAGAAAACATGACCAATGTCAGGGGAAAGCAGTCAGTAGTCAGTAGTAACTGAACCCATGCTGGACTTAATAGATTTCAAAGCAGCTAAGAAATACTGATAGAAGATAAAGAAAAATACACTAAAAAAAATTAAAAGAAAATATATCTTAAAAAGCACTCATTGCTCTTGAGTGGACCTGGGTTCAGTTCCCAGCACCCACATGGTAGCTAACAACACTCTGAAATCCCAGCTCCGGGGTATTCAACACCCTAGGGCCTCTGAGGGCATCAGATAAACACATGGTGCACAGACAGAAAGCGAACACTCACACATACAATAATAAATAAATAAATTTATTTTTCAGTGGGCTGGGGAGATGGCTTAGTTGTAGGACTTGTTGAACAAGCAGGAGGTCCTCAGTTTGTTCCCTTTTAAAGATGCTGGGCACGGTAGTGTGTCCTCGCAACTCAGCACTAGGGAGGCAGAGATGGCTGGTGACTAGGAGCTCACTGGCCAGCCAGCCTACGTGAATTGATGGGCCCCAGGCCAGCAACAAACTATTTCAAAAAAACAAGGAGACAGCACCTGAGGAATGACTGTCCTCTGGCTTCCATGTGTGTGCATGTGCACACACGCGCGCGCGCGCACACACACACACACACACACACACACACACACACAAAACTAAAGAGAAACAACACAGCAAGACTTCCCGTATTTGATGAAAAATACTGTTTAATTTTTTATTTTTTTAAATGTTGGGCTGGAGTAGTTAAGTGCATGTGCTGCCCTTGCAAAGGACTTCAGTTTGATTCCCTGAACCCACATAACCTGGGACTCTAGCTCCAAAGGATCTAAAACCCTCTTCTGGCTTCCCTGGGCACCAGACAATCTCAGAAAATGAACAAGTGCCAGGTAAGATACATGTAGAGAGAGGGGCACCTCAGCATAGCTTGCTGCAAACCAAAGACAAAGACTGACTCCCAAAAGCAGCCAAAACTGGAAAAAGGTGCAATATGGACAGAGAAATTAGAGAATGAACATGGCTCCCACTTTATGAGACACAACAGAGGCCAGGAGAGAATAGAGACTCTCTGGAGATGGCTACTATCCTGATTTGCATAGTGAAGCACTGTATGTATGTATCAATGATCACAAAGTAAGTACTGAATTAGAAAAGAAAAGTGTAGTCTCTCACACTTACTACACAAACTCCCGAGATGCTCTCATACGTCAATCAAAAATACCCAGCACACACTGGCACCCGTCTCAAATAAGAGATGTGTGAACAGCCAGAACTGTCAATGTTCAGGGGGCTGTGCACCACAGATACGGAGAACATGCAGAGCAATGTGCTCCAGTGAGGAGGACACATAGCAAGGCCGCGGGGCCAGCGAAGGACGGCACCTGTCTTCCAGGAGGAGCGGCCTCTTGTGAGAAAGAAGTGCAGAGAAAGAATCACTACAACCCCACCCAACCATTAAGACAGACTCTGTGCTGGATAGCTACACTATCTGAAAGGCTAGACAAATGACAGCCATAGTCACAAAGAGAAAAATAGTTGATTCATACCACCACTTTCAGATGGCTCGATACTCAAACTCTGACTTTATTACTGTTTTAAGTCGTCTCCTTACCTAAATATTATTCAAAATGGATGGCTCTAAAAAGTGACATCTGGGGCTAGGGAACCAGGAGCTGTGGCCAATGAGACAAGCAGATTCTGGCAGATCTCTGGCTACCAGACACAAAGACCTCAGCTCAGATGCTGGAGAGCAAGAAAGACACTTGACATTTGCCTTTACACTCCTGAATGCACACCTACACACACACGCACACACACATACACACAAGGAATGAGCATCTACTCAGGCTGCCATGTGAGCACATCCTTCTACTACCTTTTGGATTTTTATGTGTGACCAGCTGGATTCTGGAACGATGGTCTATTCTCTAGGCTAACTGTGTCCTCTGTGAGCATAGGGTTAGATAGCCTGTGTATGACAAGGAAGTTTTGTCACAGCAAGGCTTCATAGGAATGTAACACCACATCCAATGATGCTTCTGAAGAGAAATCTTCATCTCAGTGAAGAAGCACAACATTGGAGTGTTTCATCAAGACACACACGCCTAGTCTCTAGCTGGGTGTGGTGCCACACGCCTTTGGGCCCAGTACTCAGAAGACAGAGGCAGGCAAAGCTCTCTGAGTTTGAGGACAACCTGGTCTACCTAATGAGTTCTTGGACAGCCAAGGCTACATAGTGAGGCCCTGCGTCAAACAAAATACAAGTAAAATATCCCTAGGCTCCACAGCAACATGAGGTCTGAGGCAGACATTTGCATGTTGAAGAGTTTCCCCAGGTGTGATGGTGCTTTTGCGTGTGTACTTGATGGGATTTAGAACCACTGTAGAATGTCTGTGAGAACTTTTTAGATTGGGTGAGGAAGACTCACCCTAAATATGACAGCACCATCCACGGGATGGAGTGCTGGGCCGAACAAGAAGCAAGCGAGCACAGCTCCAGCCAGCAGCCACCCTCCTCTGCTTCCTGAGTGTGGATGCGATGAGAGCAGATGCTTCAACCTCCTGTCACCTTAACTTCCCTGCCACAGTGGCCTGTACCCTTGACCCAGGATCTAAAATAAACCCCTTGCCTTCCTTAAGTTGCTTTGGTCAGGTATTTTCTCACAGCAGTGAGAACAGTAACTAAGACACTAGGGGACTATGATGATGAGCCAGGTCTGACCTACAAAAGCAAACAGATCAATCATATTCTCTCTCCCTCTCTCTCCTTATCTCCCTCTCTCTCTTCCCCCTCCTTCTTCTCCTTCTCTCTCTTCCCCCCCTCCTCCCTCTCCTTCTTCTCCCTCTCCCTCTATTCTCTCTCCACAGACCCCCTTCTTTGTCTCATTACTGTTTTGCTTCTCAGAATCTTAACTATCAGTTGGCATGGCTGGCTTGGACACAAACCCTGGGGCAGGATGCCTGGTTACCTGGAACATCTCATTGATTCCCTCTCCGGTTTGTGCTGATGTTTCAAAGTACAGGAACCCTTTGCTTTCGGCCCAAAGACGCCCCTCACTTTCGTCAATGCAGCGGTGTTTGGCGCAGTCCACCTGAAACAGAAAGTCAGGAGGGGCGGAGGGAAGGTCCACCTTTGTCCCACTACGTCAGGCGCAGTGAGGTCTTTATCACTGAGCCTCAGAGTTACATACAAAATTACCAGGCTAAATAAGACCAAACAACAAAAACCCAGTGACCGGGTTTTCTGTCTAATTCAGACTATGCTTCCCACTTCCTCCCATGGGAAGGCAGCTGCTATGTACTTCTGTGAAAGTTGCATCAATATCTGTCCTACCCAAGGGGCCACCGTCTGCTGTCTGCCATGAACAACTCCTCCCACCAGGTCAAACTATGAATATTGGCCTTTCCTGTATAATCCCAGACTGCTTCCTCAAGCTTGACACCAAGGGAAAAATATGAATAAACATCCAGTTAGAGCAGGTTTTGTGGGTTTTGTCTCAGACACATGTTTTCAAAGGTTACTGATATTTTTATTGTTGTTTCTTTGAGACAGGGTCTTACTATGTAGCCCTGGCTATCCGGGAACTTGCCCTGTAGAGCAGGCTGGCCTTGAACTCACAAAGAGCTGCCTGACTGTGCCTCCCTAGTGCTGGAGATTGAGGACGTGTGCCACTACACAGGGCTAAAGCTACTGATTATGTGTTAAAAAATAGCACCTCCCCCATTGCATGTATGTCCATGAGCATGGTGCGAATGTGCGTGTATATGCGTGCATGTATACATGCCTATGTCTAAAGACTGAAGACAGGGTCTAACTAAACTACCCATTCTGGCCTGGAAACGCCACACAGCTCAGGTGGCCTCAAGCTCATAGTCTTTCAGCTCCTGAGTCCTGGGATTTCAGGCTAAGTCACACACCCAGCTCTTTCTTTTTTGTGTCCTCAAACTCACAGCCGCGTTAGCAAACCAATTAAAAGAAGTTACCTTGTTGGCACATACAACAAAGACAATATTGTCCATGTTCCCGTGAGGCCCAAGTTCCTGCTTCATTTCTGCCAGCCATGAATCCAGGGCGTCAAACGAGTCTTTCTGCCCAACATCATACACCAGTATCACACCTTGCGTGTCCTTGTAAAATTCATTTCGGACCTTCAGATGGAAGAACAGAGGCACAAGGTGTTGGCTCTGTGATCTTTCTAAGAACGCACCTCACAGTCACTAAATTAACAAACTGTATCCTTTTTTATATTTGCACATTCATTAATGTAGCTCAGTATTTACTAGCTTTTAGAGGACTTTCTATAAAATCAAAATGAAACAAACAAATTTGTAGGTAAGGAGAAATCCTAGCAAAAACAAGGGCTCGGCTTCTCAAAGGCAGCACTCTTTAGCTGTAGACTTCGAACAGCCATGAACAATTGTGAGCAAGGGCTACGACCACAAGACATGACATCTCAGAGCTTACCCAGCATTCCAGGCAGAGCTTCCTAGACTGTTCCAAGGCTGTACATCAATCTTCGACCCCCAACCTCAGAGCCCAGGACAGTCAGAAAGCAAGGAGCACAGCAGAAGAGGCAGGCAGCTCTGAGTTCACACCCACCAGGTGTGTGACCTTTGTGTGACCTTTGCCAAATCACAACCTCTCTGCACTTCCTCATCTGTAAAAGGGGATCATAGTACTATGGCTGGACTCGGTGAGGTCATGAAGGCAACAAACTGCACTTGGCATGGCTCCTGAAAAATAATACAACAGCTCCTTCTCCCTTTCTTCCTTTCATTTTGACTGTCCTGAGATCATTCATCGGAAATGGCAATTTGCCTTAGCACAGAGCTACAGCTCTCAAAAGAGTTGACAAGAGGTGCAGGGTGAACTCAGTGATAGAGGCAGTGAGAAGCTGGGTGGGCCGGAATTCTGGTAGGAACTTTGACAGAGAACATAGCTTTATGTTATACACTCAGACTCACTCTAGCTAAGGATTCAGAAGTGGTAGGCTCTAGTCCTGTTTCCTCTCTTCTACTGTCTATCCCATTTTCCCCTTCTGAATGAGAATTAAGCATCTTCCCCAGGGCCCTCCTTGTCGTTTAGTTTCTTAGGTATGTAGATTTTACTATATTTATCTTATATAATATGGCTAATATCCACTTATAAGTGACTATATATTATGTGTGTCTCTCTGCTTCTGGGATACCTCACTCAGGATGATCTTTTCTAGTTTCATCCATTTGCCTGCAAATTTCATGATTTCCTTGTTTTTAATAGCTGAGTAGTAGTCCATTGTGTAAATGTACCACAATTTCTGTATCCATTCTTCAGTTGAGGGACATGTAGGTTGTTTCCAGATTCTGGCTATTATGAATAAAGCTGCTACAAACATGGTTGGGCAAATGTCCTTATTGTATGGTTGAGCATCTTTCAGATATATGCCCAGGAGTGGTATAGCTGGGTCTTGAGGTAGCACTATTCCCAGTTTTCTGAGAAAGTGCCAGATTGATTTCCAAAGTGGTTGTACAAATTTACATTCCCACCAGCAATGGAGGAGCCTACCACAGATGTCCTCTAAAAGACTCCAACCAGCAAGGGATTGAAGCAGATGCAGAGACTCACAGCCAAACTTTGGACAGAGCACAGGGAGTCTTATGGAAGAAGGGGGATATAAAAGGACCCAGAGAGGACAGGAACCACAGAAGGAGACCAACGAAGCCAAAAGAGCAGGGCTCAGGGGGGAGTGCAGAGACTGATGTATCAACCAAAGACTATCCATAGAGAGGACATAGACTCTCTGCTCAGATGTAGCCCATAGATAGCTCAGTCTCCATATGAGTTCCTTCCTAAGAAGAGAAGAGACCATCTCTGACATGAATTCGGTTGCCTGCTCCTTGATCACTTCTCCCTGGTGGGGCTACCTAGCCAGCCCACAAAGGAAGAGGATCCAGGCAGTCCTGATAGGACCTGATAGGCTAGGGTCAGACAGTAGGGAAGGAGGACTTCCCCTATCAGTGGACTAGAGGAGAGGAATAGTGGAAGAAGAATGGGACCTGGAGGAGATGAGGAAGGGGGCTACAACTGGGATACAAAGTGAATAAATTGCAAATAATGATAGTAATAATAACAATAAAAAAATTCAAAGTGAGAAAGCAGGGAGTGGTGGCATTGACTGCTACACCAGCAGTCAGGAGGCTGAGACAAGGACTGTGACTTTAAGACAAGCTTGGGCTACACAGTGAGTTTAAGGCCAGCCTGGCCTACATAGTGAGTTTGACACTAGTCTGAGCTATAAAATAAAACCTTAAGGGAGGGAAAGAGAAAAGAGAAAAGCATTTATCTCTTACGCTGGGCATGGGTTTCTGAGCACAGTCAGAAACCTTGACCATGAATATAAGGTTCCATCACTAATTAGAGAAACCAAAGGAGCAGTTCACCTAGTAAGGAATGACGAAGGCAGAAGGAATTTAAGATGACTATGTGATGTGTGAATGAGAATAACCCCCACAGGCTCATGTATTTGAATGCTTAGTCACCAGAGAATATTAGAAGGTGTGGCCTTGCTGAAATAGGTGTGGTCTTGTTGCAGAAAGTGTGCCACTGGGGATGAGTGTTGAGGTTTCAAGGGCCCAAGCCAGGACCGGTTACTCTCTTCTTCCTGCTGCCTACAGATGCAGAGCTCTCAGCCCCTTCCCCAGCACCAGGTCTGCCATGTTTCCTGCCATGCCGATAATGGACTGTAAGCCAGAGCCAATTAAAAGCTTTCCTTTATAAGAGTTGCCGTGGTCATGGTGCCTCTTCACAGCAAAGAACTCTACGATAATGACCAACAATCTCTGCCCTCAGAGCTTGTGGTCCCTTCTCAACAGCTAAGGGTTCTCTGTACAATGAGAGAGAGACTGTGCACACAAGTATGTGGGTTTCCCTCATAATTGGAAGCACAATTTTCTGTAGATTCCACTGGGGTTTAACATATCATGGCCAAACAACTTTTTCTCTACAAGGTACATGGTGGAAATTTGTATCACATATTTGCAGCCTGGTTTCCTGTACCATCATGAGTCATGAAGTAGCTTTACCTGTCGAATTTTAAGGTTCGTCTCCCCATCAAGGAGATCAGAATTGGGTATTGGATCCTTTGGAGCTAGGGATACAGGAGGTTGTGAGCCACCTAATGTGGGCTGGAAGCTGAAGCTGGCCTCCACCCCTCTATCTTTGTTTTTGTTTGCTTTGCAGACAGGATCTCTTGTAGCCCAGGCTGGCCTCAAAGACTCCATTTAGCTGATGATGACATGAACTCCTGATCCTCCTGCCTCCATATCCAAGTGTTGGGATTACTGCATACACCACCATGCTTGGCTGCTGTTTGCACTTGTAGCACACTCCTGTCATTGGCTGCCATTTTCAGAGCTAGTAGCATATCCAGCTGTGTTCCACACGAAGGTCAAAGAATCCGGATGTATCTATTCCTGGTCACCCATAAAGCCAGTGAAAATTAATATTCAAGATATTGATTTATCGAATGGTTAGATGTTTGTCTACAGAAGACAAAAGTAGAGGCCAAAGGGGAGAATTTCAGCTGCTGGACATGTCTCCAGAAAGTGACTGTGTGTGTGTCTGTGTCTGTGTGTATATGCGCACTTGCACACACACGTAATAGATTAAAGCAAGATCAACGGAGATTCGATTCCAAGGAACTCAAGTTCAAGTCTAAGCTCAGTAACTAGCTACCTACATAGTCTTGGGTAAATTATTTTATCACACCAGCCTTAGCTTCCTTAGCAGTAAAATGAAAAGGTCAAAACATGTTTTGTGGACTCCTGCAGCTCCATTATTCTAGCCTTCCAAAACAGCTTCCCCATTCCAGACAGCAGGCTCACCACATTTGAAGCTTAGTTAAGATGCTTAGGGATGCAATGCACAACTGGCAAGGGCTGAGACAGCTTTTAATGCAATATTACAGAGGTCTCAGAAAGTTCCTACAAGAGCATCCTCAGTGGAAGACAGGCCACATGGTCCTGGCAAGACCCTGGGGAAACCTGCCAAGAGGACTATAATAGTGGAAGCTTCATCAGGGGATGAGGAAGCTGGGGACTGTGGGATGGCTCTGGGTGTTCATGAGGTATGTGTGGAGTAAGGACACGCTTGGGTCAGCTTGGGACTTAGAAGAGAGTGGCTTTGGTCTTGTCAAAGGAAGGCTTGTACTACAGACAGCAACTACAAGACACAAAAGAGCTCAGACTCTGACAAGGTACTTCAGAAGAGGGGACTTTAAGGAGTTTCTATTAATTAATACTTCTATTTTCACAAACTACTGAAATAAAGCTAATGCATTTTTAGGTTGCATTAATAGGAGTCAAAGATAGAACGGGGGGAGCAGAATCTTAGCAGTCAGACATCTAGAATGATATATCAGAACTTCAGCTAACCAGGGACACCCACAAAAAATTCAGTCTGTCTCCTCAAAAGCAAGGCCAGAACATGCTGAAGACAAAATGAGGGCAGCTCCACAAGGAGACACTGACAGCTGACAGCTTTAGTTCTGAACAGGATTAGCTCACAAAGCAGCAAAATATGTCACTGGCTCCCTGTTCTCCACATATTGCCACACTCTACCTGCATAACTCTTAGCACATCTATGGCCTCTTGGTTTGAATGTCATGTCCCTCAGTAGGACTTTCTGAACCCCAGAGATGGTTGAATCATGGTATTAAATGGCATTTGCCATTGGTTTAAGGAATACTTCTCTAACATACTTTTACTCCACAAGGACATGGGGACTCTTTTGCCAAGACCTGGGGAAACACACCTAGAAAACGACATGAGGTACAGACAAAAGCCCTGTGGAAAGCCTGTTCTCACTAGCAAAGAACCCAGCAAAGGGGCAGCTAGGAAATAAAAGGCTTTCGGCAGTAACTACTCTAACTAAACACCTTTGGGAGGGAAACAGTCCCTGCCTTAGTCAAGACGGAGAGGAAACTTTAGCAATGAAAATCCGACAGTGAAAATAAAACACTTAGTGACTGAGGTCAACAGCTGAGTGATGGAGACAGGAGAAAAATCAGGCAATGAGGGACCGGTTATAGGAGTTCTGAAGGTCCTTGTGCTCACAGATAAGCACTAGGGAACCCAGAATGTTAAAACACACAGGAATGCTCCTTCAAAGGAAAGGGATACATAACCTGTTAGCCACCCAGAGTGCTGGAGCAGATGTGGTTAATAGCCTGGCGACCTTTGCACTATCTGTGTATCCAAGACCATACCAGATTCTCTCCAGACCCTCATTATGAGCTTGTTTTTCTTAGTCAAGCTTTAGAACCCATCTTTATGAAAAGAGTTTTGATGTAGTAACAGCCAAGCTCCATTTAGCCTGCTTTGTACTTTATTGTGCACATGGGTTGTGCACATGAAAACCAGGAGAGTTTTCACCAAGTTGTGTCTAAATATCCCCAAAATAAACTATTCGGGTCAGATTCCTGAAGTTTGAGCCAAAACAAACTACTTAGTCATGCTGAACAGAACTGACTGCCTTCCTGCCTCCTGCAAATGTTACTCAGCTGGTCCCCCTCCACTGCCTGTGGTGGTCACAGAGACCCTCGCAGCCAGGGAGGTAGCTCAGTCTGTAAAGCACTTAGTCCAATTCCCAAAAGCCACATGGTGGAAGGAGAGAACCAACTCCCAAAAGCTGACCTGCACACACCATGGCATACATGTGCCAACACATAGACATAAATAAATAATGTAATTTTTAAAAATTAAAAATCAGTGAAAGAGCAGAGATACCCAATTTTTCTGGGTGTGCTGTGTGATGTGTGTGTGTGTGTGTGTGTGTGTGTGCGCGCGCACACGCACGCATGCCTGGGGAGTGACAGGAAAGGGCATACTAGCCCTTGCTGTGAATGGAGGGGCCTGCTGAGCTGTTACAGCCATGCGCAGTACAATTATTATCTTCTCACACACTGGGCTAAGGTATGAAATAAAAGGCCAGTGTCCTTCTAAGTTGGAAATGGCCTATTCATTCAAGTGTCTGAAACATGAGCCATGAAATTCTCCATTCCTATTCTAGGAAAGCATAAGTAATCAAAAAGTATCCACTGAACGGAAGCCCAGAAGGCAAGCCGCTAACATGGGCTAAACTTGCAGATGATTTGAATACTGGTCATTTGAATTAACTTCCCACTTTCTCCAATGTCAATACTGGATTTAAGTTTGTCTTTCTTTTTTTTCTTTTCTTTTCTTTTTTTTTTTTTCAAGACAGGGTTTCTCTGTGTAACCCTGGCTGTCCTGGAACCTGCTCTGTAGATCAGGCTGGCCTTGAACTCACAAAGATCTACCGTCTCTGCCTCCCAAGTACTGGGACTAAAGGCGTGTGCCACCACTACCCAGCTTTTTTGTTTTTGTTTCTTAATGGATTTAAGTTTTCTAAAAAGGCTTTCTTACCTCATAGAAGAAGGGGTGTCCAGCCATGTCAAAGATGTTAACTTTGATTTCTCTGTCTCTGATTTGGACCCTGAAATATTCAGATGGAAACAATCTCAAAGGTTGTTTTTCTGCACTGACATTCATGTCATTTCAAAAGGAAACAGGGTGACATTTCCAGAGGCTTTCTTCATCTTCTTTTTAACTCCAGATAACTTCACAACAAGAGGCAGCCAGCCGGCTGACAACCCACCTCCTTGTTTAGAAAACTGAGCTCTGAGCAAGCACCCATCTTTCTCCTTCACCTCAGAACCAACAAGTGGCCCCACTTGGAAAAGGATCATTCCAGCTGGGCTTGTTTATGTCCCCTCGTGTGGTGTGGGGTCATAAGACCTCATCTGACCATCAAGCTGCTCCCTACCACCTGTTGTATGTAACTCTGTCATTAGCACATATGGCTGTGGGGATGGGCTAGAGTATTGGGCTGGAAAACACTTGGCGGGGGGTGCCATCTATGTTGCTATGGGGAAGCCCTCATCCTGACTGGATAAAGACTTTCTAGGAGAAGAGCACACACACCACAGGTAATCCCTCACCTATACTCCATAAGCCAAATAAACTGACAGTCCCTAGACAGTCACTGAGACCTTGAGGAGAGGGGTAAACATTGTTTATGTCTCCCTTGGGAAGGAATTTCAGCACTACTCATCATTGGGAAAATCATCTTTAAAAAAAAAAATTAGTAATAAACAATTTGCTCTGTTTCAAACAAAAACAAAAACCCACAAATAAATAAGTCACAATTCCAGGACATCATATAGCAATTTCCATTTCTTAGGTAAACTAACTACTGATAATGATTCTGAACAAAGTTCCCTTAAATAGAATGTCTCACCACATCACTGAGGTATGCCTATGTTCTGAAGTAGAAAATGGGAAAGAAAAATAGAAGAAAATATGTGGCTTTCAAATGAAGGGCTTCATGAGTTTCAGTAAAGAGCTACAAATTTCACACTTCAAAGAAAATTATGCAAAAACACCTTCTGGTGCGCTCAATTGAAAAGCGGTAATAGAATTTACACAGAACTCTTGGGTTCTACTTTGCCACTGACTTTAACTACTTTAAAACAGTCTGGAAGGACATGCTTAAACTTGACTCTGCCCCTCATATAACTGACGTTCTGCTGTAGATACACCTCACTAATTTTATCTGCCTTTTTAGATAATGCCTCCATAGCCTACATACAATTTTTTACCTTTCAGTCTATCTATCTAACAATAGTTATTGAGCAGTCATCAGGGATAAGCACTGTTACTAGGCACTTGGAAAAAACGTACAAAAATCCTTTTTGATAGGATTCACTTTGGATGCACGATATTTAAAAAAACAAAAAAACCTTGACTGACCAGGCAACTTCCTCCCTGCTGGCTAGCTTACACAGTACCAGAAGATGCTATGCAGGTTGTTGGGGGAACAAAAGATCATGATCTCCCCTAGTGGTGGACCCCCATGCTACAATACTAACCTGCCTGATGAGATCTGTCCACTGGTGTAATAGTGGCAAGACGGTTATGAGGGTAACCAGCCATTTTCTGACTATATGAGGACTATTCTACAAAGGGATTTCATGCCTACTGCTGTAAACCTGGAAGATGACAGGTGGGGGCAGGAATTCCTGTTGTTGTTCGGCTCAGTGGTCAGGCTATCAAACTGCCTCCTCAGTATTTACTTTTAGACCCACAGACTTGTATTGCTCTCAGCTTTAGTGAGAGAAGCTTCTTGCAATGGGTGATGGTTAATACAAAAACATATACCTAGTCAAAGTGCCAAGTATAAATAACTACGAGTGCTTAATTATGATCAATCCACTCTATCAGCCTTGACCAAGCAATTCAGGGATGATCAAGCAAGATGTGGCAGGAAGAATGCTAAGAGCTGGCAGATGGGGAAGAAAGCAGTGACATGCTGACTTCGCTTATGACATGGCTGCTTTACTATCAGTTCACAGCATCTGTGGGCACTGGGCAAGCCCAGATCAAGTCAGCCAGAACTCCAGCACGGGGAAAGGACCTCTGGGGACCCGCCCTTGGCAGAAAAGCTACTGGCAGAGCTGGCTGCTGAGGGAGGGAGAGTAAACTGCCTTTTAAAGATGTGGCCGCTGGTAGGTTGAGCATGCTAGTGGCCTCACACCCATATGCATATGGTGGGTGGATACAATCAAAATGCTTTATATAAATGTGTAAAACTTTCAAAGAATAAATAAAAACAGGAAAAAAATTCATTTCTCAAAGTCAGAGATTAAACAGATACAAATAACACAAGTGCTCTACAGCAAGCGCCTCAGACAGAATAAAAACCCCAACATAGGCGTCACTCACAAAGACCCTCACTGACAGAGGTGCTCAGAGGCTGAAGGACTGTGGGCCGGGAAAGCTGTACCACTGGCAGTGGGGTTCGTCTGGAACAAGAATGAGGTTGAGATGTGTTCAAACCCCAAAAATCTCATCCTAAGACCAGAAGGAGTGGGACTACTTCCCCCTTGCTCTAGGCTTGCATGTCCTGGCCCACATAGCCTTTGGGCCCCCACCTCTACCCTTGAGGTAGGCACATGGCCTGGTGGCCGGGGGTCAGGTTAAGCTTCCTCTCTCCTCATAAGTGCATGTCCAGCAAGCACTGAGAATTCCTCTTCATGCAAACAAAACATTGCCAGCACCTCAGACCCAGTCAATGTCAATGATGTCCACTCACCCTGAGAACCCCTGCCCACTCCTCAAGGTTTAGGTAGCCCTTGTGTACCCCCAATAAGAGAGCTGTTTCACTGAAAACCACCTCAGAGAAGGCTGTTTTTCCTGCACTCAATGCCAACCGAGATCCTGCATAACCCACCTGGCCCAGCTAAGCTTCATTCCCTCCAGTCCAGCCTGGATACCCCGAGGGGAGAAGCAAAACAGGGGCAGCAAAGACCTGAAATGTCATGTTTAAGAAATGTGCTGTTGGGCTGGAGAGATGGCTCCGAGGTTAAGAGCACAATTCCCAGCAACCTAGTGGTGGCTCACAACTATCTATAATGAGATCTGGTGTCCTCTTCTTATGTAGAGGCACGAATGAAGGCTGAATACTGTATAAAACAATAGACAAATCTAGGAAGAGAAAGAAAAAAGAAAGGAAGGAAGGAAGGAAGGAAGGAAGGAAGGAAGGAAGGAAGGAAG